AATCCGTGTCAGCAAGGTGTGCTTGCGAAGATGATGACAACTGCACGCGCAGCTGGAGGCTACGAGTTGAAACTTGCATGTGTCACAGAGTAGTACCAGTTGCATAACTGAAGAAGTAACCATTTGTTCGATAAGAAGACCAACGCAATTTGCAATCACACTTGTTGGTTTGGGTTTGAATCGCTGTCAACCTCAACATCTTCTGGCTTGACTTGATTCAACCGCCTGTTTGTGTGGACATTGCCAACCACAAGGTGGACAAAATCATCAAGCGCTTCTGGGACAACCAGCCGTTGTGGCCTCTTGACATCGTGGTGGCCGTGCCCCAGGGAAATAGCCGCAAAATCAACAGTGAATGCTCTAAAATTCTTGGGCTCCTTTGATTGCAGCAGGGCACCACCCACTGGTCCGACTTGCTGATGGTGAAGAAGGAATTGGTTTGGGTACTTCTGAAGCAGGCCGCTGAACCATCAAGCGCTGTTCACCAGAGTGTTGAACAAAATGATGAAACAACGGTGCTGACTCGGGGAATACAAATGTCCTTGTTTGGTTCGCAGTTGTGATTCCTTCAGGCGCGGGATTTGCAGTGGCTGCCGTGAACCGCATGGAGCTATGGGGGTGGCAGCCTGCCAAGTACTGTGCTTGGTCGCCCTGTAGTCACTCATGTCTTGTTGCTGGTCTCAGTTTGTTTGTTTGTGTGTTTGTAGGTTACTCTTTGTTTGCTTGATTGTTTGGCAGAATAAAGCGGAGTCTTGTTTTGTGTGTATCTGCTTGCTTGATTGCTTGCTTGCTGGCTTGCTTGCTTGCTTCTATGTTTTGTTGCTTTGTTTGTGTTGTTCTTGGTTTGTGTTGTTTGTTTTTGGTCTTTGTGTTTTTGCATCTTTGTTTTCCTGTCATTTTCTCGTTTGGGTTCGCCTATTTGTTTTGTTTGTTTGTTTGTTTGTTTGTTTGTTTGTTTGTTGGTTGGTTTGTGTGGTTGCTTGCTGCTTGTTTGCTTACTTGTTTTCAATTTATGTTTATTGGTTTGTGTGTCTGTTTGTTTATGTCTTGTTTGCAATTGTGTGTTTTGCGCGTTTGTGCGCTTGTTGTGTATGCTTGCTTGTCCCGCTGCTGGTGCGGTTGTTTGTTTGCGTGATTGTTTCTCAACCAGCTTGCTTGCAGTTTTGATTATTTGTCTCCATGTTTGTTTGTGCGTGTTTGTCAAACCTACCTACATACATACGTATATGTCTATATGTATATAAACATACTAATACACACATGCACACATACATACATACATACACACACATACATACATACACACATACATACATACACACACATGCGTACCTTCATACCTACATGCACATATACCGACATACATTTACATTGCATTGCGTTGCATAACCTTACATGACCTTACATTACATTACGCTACGACACACACATCTACACATACATGCTGGCGGACCAGAAGCCGCGCTCAACGGTGTGCACTTTTTTTCCTGCAACCCTGCTGGCACGCCCGCACCACTGCTTCGTCCTGGCACTGCGCGCACGCCTGACCATGATAACCGCACCCGCTCGACTGCTTCGTTATAGCAGGCCTGACCATGGTAAGTGCTTCGTTACAACACTGCGCGCACGCCTGACCATGGTCAGCACACCCGCCCAGCTGCTTCGTTTTAACACTGTGTGCACGCCTGACCATGGCAAGCGCGCCCAGCCGACTGCTGCGTTACAACACTGCGTGCGCTCCTGACCATGGTAAGTGCGCTCGCCCGACTGGTGGCTTCTAACACTGCGCGCGCGCCTGACCATGGCACGCGCGCCCGCCCGACTGCTGCGTTCTAACACTACGCGCACGCCTGACCATGGAAAGCGCGCCCGCTTGACTGCTTCGTTATAGCACGCCTGACTAAAGAATTTTTTCGCGGACGCGAAAAGGTCGACTGCCACACTGGCACGATAGACTCTACCTGGTCAAGCTGCAAAGCATATCCCGAATTCGCTGCCTTTGTGCAGTCCGCATCTCCTCTTGTATGTAAAGTCTTGGCAGCTTCGCCAGCGAGATGTGGAGCAGCAAAGTGTCGAAGCGATCGCAAAGATGAAAAAGAAGAAGGCAGGGAATGAGCGATGCAATTTGCGTTTCACCTCAGCGAAACGCAAAACGCGTCTAAAACTGAGCCCTCTTTTTGGGAGGTTTTTGGGGGACTCAATGTGCTTTTCGCTGAGGTGAAACGCAAGTTTTTCAGAAAAGCGGCAAAACGCGATCGCAGATTTCGGTCTGCCGGGATATGCATGTACATACACGTATACGTACATACGTACGTACATACATACACACATACATATTATATGACATTACACACATGCATACATACCTGCGGTCAGGCATGCATAAGTACATACATAACACACACATACACACACATAAGTCATGTACGTACGTACTTACATACAGGCATTACGTCACATTACACTGATTGAGTTACACCAGTACATGATTTTATCACATGGTGTGCAAACATGCAAACATACAAACGTACATGCCTACCTACCTAAAACAGCAAGCGCATTAGGGCACGCTTTATGTCACACCCCATTGCAGTACACTGCGCGCATTCATATACAAACACACATACATCACGTCGCATCTACATCATGTTGTTTTTGTTTGCTTCATTTGTTCTGCGTTTGTTTGTTTTTCTGTCTGGCAGGCTGCATAGCTGTCACTTTGTTTCTGCGTGTTTGCTTGTTTGTTTGCTTGCTGGATTGTTAGATGTTTTTGCTTTTTAGATACTAATGCAGGTTAACCTCCATGTACGCAATTTGTTACCGAATGGTTTTATTGCTCATTTTCGATTTGCTGGTGCGTTCGCGTGCATTGTCTGCAGGGAGCCATCTTCTCCCGCCAGTATGACGAGGGCCTCCAAGGTGGCTGGACACTCGCTTGATGAGTTCATCTTCCGCAAGCCCACGTCGGATCTTCTTAAAGCAGCGCAGGTCGAGCTGGCAGCTGCGCAAGATGGGAAACCCACAGGCGGCCATGCCCCTGATGGGAATGGTGGAGATTGACAGCATTGTTCCTGAGAACAATGCAGAAAGACACAAGCACCCACCTTCCTGGCATCTCCATGTGCAAGATTGCCGACTCAGAGGGAAAGCTTGTCGAATGGGCGGCCTTTGCCAAGAACCTGTGCAAACGCTTCATAAAGCTGCACGTGGGTGCCAACCAAGCTGAGGTCACACGCACGCTGTCAGCGCACGGTCTGAAACGAGGTCCGGGCGCACCTTCGATGCCCGCCCTTCCGCGCAGCGCTGCAAGCTGCAACCCCTGGGCTTCTCCGCCGAATGTTGTTTTTTGCCCTCCTTGACGCCCGCGCAGCATCAATTGTTTTTGCCCTGTCAACAAGTGCTTTAAGAGCAAGAAAAACGCGATTCCCAAGCCAAAGCTTGCAGTGATAGTGACCGCGACGGAGGCGTCTGAATGGCGCACAAAGAAGTTGCTGCGCGGGGTCGGCGCGCTCCAAACCATTCAGCGGCTGACCACGCGCACCCAGCAAAGCGTCGCGAGACCGTCAAGGACAGGCTCCATTGCCAAGCGACGAGCGCAACGGACCACATTGGTCCGTCCGACCAATTGTGGCAGACTCAACCACGCTGCAACGGCGACGCCGTCGTCCAGGCAGGGGCGCAGTGGAGGGCGGCGTGGGCAACGAGGAGGACCCCGCCACGGAGCGGGTGTTGTTCCTGAAAAATGCAGTTGCGCAAAAAAGCGGTAGCCGTGCAGCAAGAAATTTTGAAGTACTAAAAAAAGACGTCATCAAAAGCAGCCCGGACCAAACAGGCTAGTGAGAGGCCCTGAGACAAATCCAACTGCAGAAGAAAGACGGAGTTCGAACCGTTTTGATTTTTTGGCCGGGACACGCAGGACACTGATCGGAATACTGGGTGGGAATCGCAGGAGACTGAGCGGGGCACGCGGGACATTAGGCGAAACACAAGAACACATGCACAAGATCAACCAGACACAAGAAGGAAAAAAAAGGAAACCGACGAACAAAACAGTTAAGCGCAAATGCTTTACAAGACATGTGAAAGTGAGAAGTATTTGCTAAAAAAAAGCTTCCCCCATAGCAATGGCCAAGTGTGCTATATGTGCGGTGGTGCTTTGTCTAGCTATATTTGGTCATCCCGTCTCAGGTGCGTTCACGCGAGCGTGACATGAGCTGTCGTCCGGCGGCGAATATGGACGCGCAAGCCAACCGTGGTCATCCAGGTCAAATCGGAGCCCTGGTTGGCAAGGTTAGCTTGCAAGACCCGAGCCAAACAGGAACCTGCCACAACCCGAAATCTAATAGATGCGCAGAAATCACAAAGCCGGCCATGGGTTCAAAGTCTGGGGTGTCCCACGTTTGAAAGAACATCTCCACGTTCGGAAAAATGTGTCCGTCTGGTTTCTGATTCAGACGACTTACGGCAATCCAACGCAGGGGCACTGTTGGTACCGGAAGGGGGCCGGCTGCGAGGGAGCGAGTGCCCTGTACGATTTGGACGCAAAGTGGCAGAAGTGGCGTTAGATCAAACAGATACGGACCACGGCGTGGTGTCAACCCAAGTCTCTGCTTCGCACTGGCTCGCTTTTGAGCTGCGCACACCCAACTTTTCCACTTTCCCTCTGCCAAGGTAAAAAGACAGGGGTGCAGGGTGACGAGCGCAACTCGCCCGATTGAACAGCCCACCTTTTTGGGGGCGCAGTTGTCCCCAGCTGAGGGTTTGACATCCAAACGTTCAAGTTGCCGGCATGTGGGTGAAATGAAGCGTCGCTCCGAGGTTGCTTGCCGCACAATCGAAGTTGCTCCTTTAAGTTGGACAACCTGAGACATGTTGGTCGCGTTCTTTGCTTTGTCAAGGCCAACAATGTTTTCAATCTCTTCTTGCCTGACTCAGCAGCGGGTTAGGAAAACCATTGGGGGGCACGAAGGGATTTACGTGCCCCCCTTGGCGCGTTGCAGGTTGAGCAGTGGCGGCGGGCAGAGGTACCAAGGCAGCTGGGACGTGGTTGTCACAAAATTGCGTTGCAGGTTTGCGGATTGCCCATCTTGAGAGATGTGGGCTTTGGTTGTCCAATTTCTGTGGGTGGCCCAGGGAATCGGCATAGGGATGGAAGTTGAGTTTTGGTATCACCCAACTGTCATGCGCGCGGGAAGGTGCATCCCCCCAAAATCAATTGCCCGTCAGGAACATATGAACGCAAACAAACCTGGAGGCGCCACAGGAATGGGTTGGTGTGGACATGTTAGGATTAAGCTGGGACTGGCTGGTTTCTTGTTCCGACTTTTGACGGGAGCCGAAGCCTTCCCCTCAATCCAGGCCAAGTCCGGGCAAGCGATTCAAGTTGATCCAATCTTGATCTGATTTGAGGGGCCCCTGGTTCTGATGGTTGAAAGTTGAGTCAACGGTGTTGGTAGAATTTCGTCCAGTTTCTCTCGTTGACAGAGAGAATCGGAGTCAGCTACCAGCGGATGCAAACCGGCTATTTGGAAACTACGTGACCTGACTCTTGTGCTACTTCCTTTGCTGCCTGAACGTTGGTGCTGCTCGCTCCATGTTCTGGTTGCCCCGTGTCCTTCTGGCGGCAGCACCGAAAGCATTGTTTTGCGCGCTTGCTGCGGGCTGCGCCGCCCGCCATGCTTGTTGGAGATCTGAAAATAAGTAGTTTAGGTGCAAGGATGTACATAGAACCCGTAAATCTACGATGAAACCTCTACCAAAAGAACCGCCTTCTCCACAGGGTCCTGCTTTTTTGTTTGAGCACCTTCTGCTGGACATCCACCAAGTGCTTTTCAGGGCGAGACAGCCACAATCAAAACGACGGTCGAAGCGAGGTGTACGAGCGCCACCTCGATTGACTGTGTTCCATGGGCTTTGACCATAGATTACTAAACCCCCCCTTTGTACCCCCCTTCTCATGTAAGTTTGCCTAGGGTGGCTGGGAGGGGTCCTTGGGGGGGAATGCACTTCCAGCCCCGCACGCCAACAGCACTCCTTGGGAGAGGCTTGAGTCACGCGCATTGCATTTGCAAGCGAAGTGTTTCGATCAGTAAGTACCAATTGCGACAACATACGGGACAGGCTAGCCTGAAACGCATTCCTTTGCTAAATGCCCGTTGGACTCGGGAAAATTGCTCCCCTAAAGCTCCGTTCTTTGCTAGATGCTCCACTGCGGCTCAGGCCCTTGTCAGTTTTCCTGGGTTTGTCCAAAAATCCGCAGAAAACAGCCCAGCAAAAACATTGAACCAGCTCGAGTTTTACAGGCCCCCCCTTTCAAATAGGTTGCTAATAGCGTACTAATAGCAGCCTATTAGTCAGCTATTTGGGCCCCAACAGACTTACAGACCCCCCCCCCCCCGGTTTCAAATAGTTTGCTCATAGCTTGCTAATGTGACTAGCTACCTAGACCGACCCCGCGAGCAATGCAATTCAGCCAGGCTCGGACGCTTTGATACTTTTCTTTTCTCCCACCTTTGACTCGGCATTTTTGCCGGTCAGTTTGAATAGCTGATTGCGCCACTCAGACTGTGCCCAGTGGACTTGTACATTGCTGAAATCTTCGGGGATGAACATTGTGATATGACCCCAAACCTGGCGGATATCCGACGATTCCAGTACCAGCCATCGCGGCATCGCAGCAACCTATCGCCTGTTAACAATTGGAGCGTTTGAAGCAGCGTGCCAACCCCGCACAATCCTGGAGGAAAATATGGCTGCTGATGGCTGCCTAATAGCAGCTATTTGTACGCTAAAGCTGGGAAGCTATTAGCAGCTATTAGTAAGCTATTAGTAAGCTATTGGCACACAACCCTGCAAAGACCTCTTATCTTAGATGACATGGGGAGGGGGTATAAGGGGGGAGGGGTTTTGTAATCTATGGTTTGAGTTTTGGGCATATTTTTTTGATATCCGTGTTCCATCATATCTTCATGACTCGTCTGTGTTTCTAGAGCGGAAGATAGGTTTTTGGCCTAAATTTTGTTCGAAGGGAAGCCGCCATGAAACCAGTTCTGACTTAGTTGGCTCGTGTTTTTGTTTTGGCGATGACCGAGCTTGGGTTTTGGTTCTGGTTCGTCTGGCTGCGGCACGTTTTGCGTCTGCGCCCAGGGGCTGCCACGTGCCCGACCCCGTGCGAAGCATCCTGCTCAGCAACCTGCCCCACCCATGCCAGGAGGGGACGAGCTATTGGGCTGCTTGAAGGAGACATTTGAACATCATATGTGCCCGCTGATTTGGAGGACCCCCCTAGGACCTGCAACTACTTCTGGGTCTTTTGGACACGTGCTGGCTGCTGCGAGTCTCCCGCCGCTTGCCAATTCTTCAAAAGATGGTCCCAACCCAAACCGTATCCAGGATATTGTGTCGTCCTGTTCAGGGTAGGCTAGAAGGACACGGCGGCAAGGACGTGAAACCGCAAGCTGAATGCTTCCGGTGGCCATGCGTAGAAAGGGCATTTGTTCCCAAGCTAACAGCGTGTGCGATTGAACTTACATTCGCACCTCTGCATGGACGGTCTTGAACAGCCATTTTTGGCCCCTGTGGTGTGGTGGCTGGCTTTCTATTTAGCACGAAACGGGAGTTCACACCGAGGATCAGACGCGGAGCCACACATTCAGCCAAGGCAAATTCTGGATTCTGAGCCGTCTGACATGAGACCCGCTCTTGTGAGACGCCCCTTTTGTTTTGTTTCAGCCGTGTGTGGCAGTTTGGGTTCGAAGGCATCCCACGTAAATGTTTTTGCTGGAGATGTTCACTAATGAGAACCCCTAACATGATCCAGATTCCCGCTAACCGGGCCTCCCCAATCAAAATCAACCTTGAAAAAAAGGGTTGCCGCAAAAATCCGGCAGGTTCATTTGTCCGGCGTCAACTTTATCCTCAAACCAGAAGGGCGTATATGGCACCAAGTAGAGATCGCACGGGCACCAAGTCACCACGTTCGCCAGGGCTGCGCACCCGCAACTAGAATCGCATTAGAGAGACCCACTGCTGTGTGATTCAGTTGGTTTTCCGCAGGTCTCATAGAGCCATCTCGACTCAAGAAGCTTTTCCTCGCTCCGTCATCCAGGCTTTGGCATCCCAGATATCGCAATCTGCATCCGTGCCCGGTGTTCGAGCATGGCAAGTCGCAGCCAACTCCTGAACCCCATCGACATCTCCACGCCTGCGGAGCATAGCCTATTGCGAATGCTTTTGTTGACCTTTATGTTTTTCGGGTTGGAGGCCCCGCTTGCAGCCTGTCTCGAGCCGTTTCGTTCTCTTGCTTTCCCTGAAAGTGTGTGCCAGACATGCGAGAAAGTATGAAGGAAAGGGTCCAACAAGGGAACAGGCATGCAGACTTCATGGCGCGGTTTGCGAACATTGCGCAGCTGCTAGTATTGCTCATCGGTGGGAAAATTGTTGGTTGTCTTCTTGGCAACAGCCTAAGTGGAAGGGGTTTTTGCGTGTTGGAAATGGAGGAAACGCACAAGAAGTTTCGCCAACGCTTCACCCAGAGACCAGCAAGTTCTTTGCAAGGGTCGCAGTTGTCACCGGCGCCTACAAGGATTTCCCGCTGCCCACGGCCAAGGGTGGACAAAGGTTGCTGAGCCCTACCCCAGCGGGTTGAACAAGGTGCTGGCTCATGAAATTCTATAGCATTGTTTGCCTACCGGCGATTCAGAAACACTAGTGTGATTCACAGCATGAGTGCGTCACCTGGTAGCTTGGGCTTGTGGCTGGTCATAGACCTCTTTTCAAGGAATTTAGACCGTTGTTGTGAGGGTTCCTGACCATGACCACGACGCGCAAATGCAGAGCACTTAGTTGGAACGACACATGCCAGGGGTAGGGGGGTTGTTCGCCTGCCAAGCCTGACAAATGCCAAGAAAACGGACAAACTCAGATTGCTTTATATTTTAGTGCTGCGCCACGCAACGCTTGCGGATCTGCAGCAAGCAGCCTGAAAGTCCTGGGTCCAACAAGCCAGACGGCAAAATCAACTCGGACCGTGCAGCTCGAAGAGGCTCGCCAGGGCGTTCTACTCCAAGAAATGCCAAGCCTGTGACGCAAGCCCGTCGAACCCAACCTCTCTGCAAAGCAAGGCTCCCTTGCCTCAAAAGCAGCTTTTGGTAGAGGGGTGCAGTGAGTTGGTGACCGAATTCGTTCCCAACGTGTGGCGCAGCTCGAAGCGATTCTATTGCAACCGTGCCAGCAAGTGCCGAAACTTGCACAAAGGAGCCCATTTTGGAAGCACCAGTCAGCATACACCCGCACCAACTCTGCATCTGTGAGTCATGGTTCCTTAGCAGGGAGCTGTTGACAATCTGAGCCGTTGTGTTATTGATAAAGCCAACGTTAGCTGTGCTCATTGTTGGTACTTTGTACCCAAGACACCCTTACTTTTTCTGGTTGGGGGAGTGCCTATGTGTTTCTGAAAGTTGGAGACTGTTTTAGAATGAGACCTTCCACTTTGGCAGGAACTGGATCTGGAGGTGGGGCTGCAGCCCTGTGGCGCCATCTCCTCCATCCAGCTCTGCAGGGGTGCTGAGAGGTGAGAATGTTCCGGATGACTTTGGGGACATTTGGAGACTCTGGCTCATTCCGCGGTCACCGGAAGGAGTGGTGCCGTGTTCCTTTGATTTGGATGATTGAATCACGTTGGATTCTGATGACTGGCATATGCTTGATTTGGATGATTGCCATTTTGATGTGGAGTGTGGAGCGTGTTTGGAGTGCCGAATGTGTGGAGTGGAGTGTGCGGAGTGCGGAGTTGGGAGTGGGCGGAGCGCGGAGGAGCGCGAAGTGTGGGAAGCGTGGAGTGTGCAGTGTGGGGAGTGGAGCGTTTGTGGAGTGTGCAGTGCGGGTGTTGTGCTGAAATCACCTTAAACCCTACCTTCTCTCCAAACAATCCCGAATCCCAGTAGAAACCATTGTAAAACACACACCTGTGAACACCGTAAAAAGTGAAAAACAACTCAAACACACCCTTAAGCCGCCCCCCCCCCAAAAAATAGAAGAAGTAGGGGGCCTGGGGGGAAGTCTGTTGAGGGTTGCCTGTTATGGTTTTTATGTTCATCTCAAATCTGTGTTCCCCCTTATTCGTTTTTAAAAGAGGGTTTTTAGGGAGCTTATTTATCGTTTTCGTTAAGGTAATCATTTTGGTAATTGTCCCCCTTGTTCATTGTTGGGCTGGGGGCAAACATTTTTTTCATTTGAAAGAGTTGACCCTTTTAGTAGTTATCAAGTTCTGGGGCGTTGGGTGGTTGTTCTGCTTGATAGGGTCTTGTAAGACACTTTGCTTTGCATCAGTTGTTCAAATGCGAGACACTTGCAGTGATTTGCTCAATTCGCATAGTCATCGGTTCTCATTCCTTCTTTGTATCAATGGCACCGAAGAAGGTTTCAACACCTGCTTCCAGTCAAGCGGGCTACCCTGATGAGACGGCGTCAGATGAAGCGATTGCCTCTCTTCTTCAAGAGATGTATTCGCTCACTCTCGCTGACATCCCTTCCAGTTCCAACGAGAGTTTGGAGTCAGCCATGCTTGACCTAAACAAGAAACTGGATGAAATGCAGAAGGCCAAGGAGTTGCTTCAGGGCGAGACCAACAAGCGTGCCAAGGCCGTGAAGGATGCCGAAACCGCTGAACGCAACCGCATCAAGAATGAGACAATCAAACAAGCGAATGCGGAGAAGTATGAGGGAAAGATTGAAGTGCTGGTCATCTTCCCCAACGGTGGCTTCATGAGGGTGCGTGTGGATAAGGGGGCATCGGTCGGGAAGTTGCGGAAACGTGTGATTCGCCGTTCAAAGGACATCTACCACTTCAACCTCGGGAGTGGCAAAACCAAGAAGAAGCTGGACACAGTGTCCATCATTACGCCTGACAACAAGCACATCTCCGCTCATCCCAGAACCATCCTTTGCAACAGCTCCACACTCATGACCCATCAGTTGGTGTTTGCAACTTGGACGGAGAACTACATCCCAACCGAGTTTGAGTTCCCTGAAATCCCAGAGGGTGCCACTTCGCCACCTCCTCAGCAAGAAGCGGAAGAGGACGATGATGACGATGAAAGTAGTGAGTGAAAGGCGTAGTCATCTTCATAGGACACTGCGTCAAGTTCCGCACTGTGATGATGTTTGACTTAAATGTTGGTTCCACACCAAAGACCTGTTTGTCTTATGCTCATCCGATGAAGAGAAAACACGTGTGAGATACTTGGCGCCATGACCATTGAACAGAACATGGTCAGACACACTTTGGCAAGGTGGGAACTGATTGAAATGCTTGCTTTGAGCAGTGCTGTCGATTGTAGAAGTTGTTCAGCTTGTCCTTGTCAGCGCTTAGGTCGCTCATGTTGCCCTGACAGGCTTGAACATGATTGTCTATTCGCTCTCAAGGATTGAAAGTCTCACTCATTACACAAGCCATTGTAGTCCGTTGAGATGCCGTTATTCTACATGAAGGTTGGAGAAGTGGTGAAGTGCTTCATCGGCAAGAACGGTTCTCTCATTGAGACCTATACCGATGAGCCTACCTTGCAAGACCTGATGGCGCTGTCAAAGAATGAGTTGAAGACCATCCTAGACCATGCAACCCTGAAGGTCTCCAACTTCAACAAGTGTGAAAAAGAGCGACTGTGTGAGTTGCTTCTCAACAGTTGGGAGTTGCTGATGGAGAAAATCAACAAGAAGTATGAGCACGTGCCAACATTGCTTCGGTTGGCTCCTTCATCTTCGTCCGCATCTTCAGACAACACTGAGGATAATGCCATTGTCCCAACCGAGAGAGTTGTGAAGGTCAAAGTGGAGAAGGACACAGGCTTTGCTCCTTTGTGCTTTGAGGTCATCCCCAACAAGACCCTGATTTCCAACATCTACGAGTTGTATGAGGTGGAGACCAACACATCGTCAAGTCAGGTTCAGTTCATGTTCAACCAGAAACGTGCAGACAGTTACCGCCGTGTGGTTGAATACATGGAGACGCCCTTTGATGAGACGGTCTCCTTTCAGGTTCAACCACTTCTTCATGGTGGAGGTAAAAGGGCTTCATCAGGGACAACGAAAGGAAAGAACAAGGAAGAGAAGAAGGCAGACTTAGAAGAGAACATCAACAGCACGATTGCAAGGATTGAGGCTCAAAGTCCGTCTCCCTTCGTGATTGAAGTCATTGGGCTCTTCAAGGTTGTCCTCAAAAGCGTCAATGAAAACCCAGACACGGTCTTTCAGGAAGCCATCAAGGTCATGTCCGTACAACAGTTGAAGAGGGTCCAGTTGACGATGCACACGGGCAATGTGGATTTCAAAGTGGGCACCCTTTCCAAAGAGTTCTTCAACAAGGCTTTCGTCATTATTGAAAGCCAGAGACGACAGCAAGACCTACTCCAAAGAACAATGAGCGACTGTATGCACCTCATGCTTGTCGCTGAGTTGGGGTCTGAGGACGCAAGCATCAGCTGGGCTGGAATCACTAAGCTCTTGGTGAATGAGATTGAGGAGAAGTGCAAAAAAGAGGCCAACAACAACTGCAATGCCAACATGAGCGGTTAGTGCGAACTCACCTTGCACAAAGGGTAGTGTTGCAACCCTGCTGTTTCCATCAAAATGTCATGGCAACAGACCCCCTTGCACAGACTCCTCTGTTTCCAACTAATTTTGACTGAAAATAGGCTCCAACAGTAGGTGTTGCACAGACCCCTCTGTTTCAGGTTCGTGTTTTGACAAAACCGTTGTGGACACACTGAGTCATGCACACACCCTTCTGTGTGCTACATTTTGCTTTGGAAGGAGACATGTCTAACTGGTCTCTTCCATCAAAGACCAGCACCATTGCAGAAGGCGAAAAAAGCCACGATTTGAGCAGTGCTGGTTCTATATATAGATATTTTTTGGATGGTCTCCTTAAAGACAGTCGCCTCATACACTTCACCCTTGGAGTGGTGATACTGGTAGATGCAGTAAATGATGCTGGTGATTGCTCCTGTGTTTTTTTTTTTGTCGGTGGATTATACGGAGACCATCCTATATATTATACTTGTTTCTATGAAATACCTAACCCCCGTATCTGTAATTCGGTCTGGGTTGCTTGTTGTAGCACCCATCCTGTCCGGGTAGTGAGTGTGGTGGGAGCGATAGGGGGAAATCGCGAGGCATACCATCCACTCACTACCGAAAAGGGAGGGTTTGATACGGGGTTAGGTCTAAGTTTTTTGACAAGAGCTGACGCCTCCGCCGACCACCACAAGAACAACAACCCCAACCCCCACGTGTGAGTCCTGTTTGTCAGAAGGCACCTCCCTCGGCGACTACAAGGTATCGGGCGGGTGGGTCGGGTGTTTTGTCTTACAACCCTAAACCGTTGTGTAAGGATAAACTATCGACGATTTTTTGTTTCAATGTTTTAGACCAACCCCAATTTCAAGGGTGCTCTTCGCAAACCCTTAAATCCCAACAATCCCTAACCACCAAAATAAGGGCATAATCCCCCATTTTCAACTCCCCCAAAACCAACAAATACATAAACTTTAATGTTTTCAGTTTCAACCTCATCCCCAAACCCACATTTCCAGTTTCAAACCCAATCCCACACCCGACCAACCGAGCCTGTCCCTGAAAATAATTCTAATAACTTCATATTATTAGAACTATTTAGATAATTATTTTATGGAGTAATGTCGCGAAGCTCATTAGGCTATTACTTTGTAATAGCGTAATGTCGCAAAGCTCATTAGAGCATTTCATCCTGAAATGCTGTAATGTCCATAAGGCAATGAAGTGAAAGCATCAATATAAAACCTTTTATTTTCATAATTACTGAGAGATTGCTTTACTTGAGACATTGAATATATTTGATGCGACTTACTTCTGATGAAGTTATATGTGATTTCATGCTTTTTGTTTTGAAATAATGCTTCGTGGTAGTTCTGATACGACAGTTCTTTTTTCACTTTGTGTTTGACTACACCTTTTGATTTCTTATGTTCATCATCCTCACCATGAATTGTGAAGGCATAAGATTTAGGTTTCAATCCGATGAATTTAGTAATGATTTTTCCATTCACTTCGTCCTTAAACATTCCTAAGACCTTTTTATTAGTTTTGTCATGACATGGATGCTCAACAGGATAGTCGCTAAAATCCATGTGTTGCTTTATCTCATTGAAATCCTTATAGACATCATCAGTCATTGTTTGAATTACATAACTGTCAGTATCAGTATATATCAATTTGATGTTTTCATTATACTTCTTTTTCAATACTTCATAATAAAACTGATACATATGTAATTTGCTTAAATCTAAAATGCTCATTCCTAAGAAAATCGGTTTATCCAGTTTCAGTTTTGCTTTAGTTTTCTCAACTCCGACGAGATTTTCATTAATAATAAATCTATTTTTGAAAGTTGGATTATTAACGCATTTTTCATATCTTACCTCATTATCAACCAGTTCAAAGTCCATATGGTTTCTTTTGTCTTCCATAGTTTTTCCGTACACCGCGTTATTCATTAATTTGAATAAATCTTTCTCAAA